GTGAGGTGGTGCAGGCTCCCACCCTGGGGGTTTTTAAGAGGAGGTTGGATGACCACCTTACTGGGGTCATTTGACCCCAGTGCTCTTCCTGCTATGGCAGGGGGTCGGACTAGATGATCTGCTCAGGTCCCTTCCGACCCTAGAAACTATGAAACTATAAATCAGTGCTCTGTATTAACTTAGAATCCCCTTATGTCTCTTATCAGAAGAGTGCTTTATATTACCAAACCTGCAAGAACGGTAGTATTAAAAAGTAGTCACAACAAAACTTTACCTGTAGCAGAGTAGAAATATGAGTAAATTTTCTGGCCATTCGAGTTACTTCAGGTAAATAGGTTGACAGTAGACTGGTATCCAGCTATATCATGAAAGACAATTGTTGTTAGATAGATGTTTTTCTCTTCTCTGTAATGATAAACCTGGATCATGTGCATCAAAGAAAAAAAAAGAAACTTCACAAAGAATTGACAATTTTACATTAATTTCTCTCTCACCTAACCTTAGAACATTCAATAATTCAACGTGTTTTAATATACCTATGCCAACATTCATGTATCGTCTGGAAAATTTGTGACCAGTTTTTTTAATACATTACGACTGAGAGACAACATATGAGAGAGATATCAAGTTTTTATGTACTATCATTAAAGTACATCATAAAGTATATCATAAATATCGTAACATCAAATTAGCAACCTGAGTTCCTATAATAGTATATCTAGTGTAATTTCTCAGACACCACCTAGCTTTAAATACCATCCCAGTTACAACAATCAGAATTTAAGTAACCAGGAAGAACCTAAAAACTAAAAAGATGAACATTACAGAACCTGGAAATAAAATAATGTATAGTTATGGCAAGTTAGAAACAGGTATGCACACTAGAATTGTCCGATACTAGTGAAAAAATAAGAAGTATTTTAAAAAGAAAGTTTCAAAAGTCACTTTTGTGTTTTCAGTCTGTATTTTATTTACCTGAAAATACATCATCTCCAAAGTACCATCCGAGGAATTTTGCATCTCTGCAATGACTGATAGTGATTTCAAATCACTAGACAAACACAACCCCCGACAAGAACCTGTCACCTGAAAAAGTCCAAGTTTAAGATGATGAAATATTACATATCTTCTCAGTGGGTAAGTACATACAGTGCACTAGCATCAACAGAAAAATTTCTGTCAGAATAGCAAATTCACTATATCAGCAATAAACAGCAATAAACTTTGCAACCTTAACACTTCAGCTATGTTTAACAGAGGATCTATTGCACACAAAGTTGAATTCCAAAGCAATGTTTAAATTCACTCATAATTTGTGGTATTTTAAGAAATGAAAGTAAAACATACCCCTGTTACTGTTGCAATCTTGAACATCCCATAAGCGTAAACCTCAATAAAAGCAGAGTTTCCACCAAGGACGAGGGCATTAAGCCTAGTAATACGTAAAATATCTAAATCAATCAGTCCAATTAACCAAAAAGAAAAGCCTGTAAGGCAATAGTTAGTTTCCACTGCATTTGAATACCTTTTTCCAAAATGTCACACTTAAAAGTACAGCTCACGTTAAGAATATTGATTTTTGTATGTAGCTGTCATTACAAAAAAAGTTCAGAGGTAACTTTAAAACACTGTTTAAACAGAAATTAGAAGATACAAAGTTACTAACTCTAATGTCACTAAATATTAGCTATTTTATATGCAAACAGAATAATTATCAATCCATTTTCTTAAAAGCAGACTGTAACATATTTATTCTTTTAAAACTACTCTTTTATTCAGCTAATTTTAAACTAACTGCTATTCTGTGGTAGTCAAGCGGCACTGCTTAGTTCAAATACAAAAACAATGAAAATTTAAATTAAATATAGCATCCAAGGACAGCCACCAATGTTAACAGCACTGGAAAAGAAAATCATCCAGGGACTAGATCCTTGGACTGAGACTGAATAGGCTTGCATGTTCTTCACATCCTGATGCTACTCACTGTGATATCTTGGGCAACTTATTTCATCTCCCTGTGCCCATTTCCTCCCTAATCTTGTCTGCCTGTTTACAATTGTAAAGTCTTTGGGGCTTAGGGTTGTCTCATATTATTATAGTACCTAAAATAAAGAAATCCTGATGTAGTATTTTAAGTAACTGTAACATTCGACAGTAATGTAGAATTAGCTGTTATAGCTTTATATGCATCTTTACATTTAGTTTGGGGCTCTGCTGCCACAAGGGAGTGCAGAATGTAGATAGATGCACTCACAGTTTGGCCAGAAGGTAATGCTTTCTGGTTTAGCTTATCATATTTTTAACTCAAAAAAAAGAAAACTGAAGGAGATTCAACTCCTTCCAAGCTAAGGTGAACAAAGTTCCCACTTCATGAGCCTCACAGAATCCTTTAATAAAAAAGCAAAGATTTGACTTCTTTTCATTATTTTTAAACACACAATACAGAAACATTCCCCATTTCTGTAGGTTATCACCAAATATATGGATTTAAAGTAATTTTTAACCAAACACTCCACTATTTTACAGATCTCAAATAATATTTACCTTACATCCCCTAGCAGTTTCATAATTTCATCTGATTTTTCTTCACTGAAAGCATAAAAATATGTTTAGAACAAGCTATAGACATTCATATGCCTCCTAAAAAAATAGAGAGAGAAAGAAAAAAACATCAGTTCTTACCTGAAGATTTTTGCAGTGGTGCTATAGCTAAATTAAAGAACAAAGTAAAAATGTGAGAAAATGAGTGCTCATTTACTCCATAACAGCTGCAGAGTATTAAACATGACGAGACAAAAAGATGACGATACTTGAAACATGAAGATTTCTAGGCTTGTTAATCTAAAACTTACTTTTTTGGCAGTGCAGGTAATTTAGGCAGAAGAAGATTTGACTCATCCTCAGCATTATAAAATGAGGTAAGGACACTGAAAAAGAAAAAGTGATTAAGAACTTTTTGTCTTTGTTTCCAAAGTGAAAAAAGGAAAACCACAATACATATTTTTTTCCAATTCCAGATTGATGTTTAGACTCAAGATGTCACATTTATGTTGCTAGCTTGCCACTTAATTTTAAAAATCTGTCGTCTTAGTTTTCCATTTCTCCAAACAGGAACGTTAAGCTGATATGTGCCAATTCAGAGGTTTGCCCCCAGACCTTCTATTACTTAGTTTTTATAGTACTGTTGAGATGCCCTAGTCATAAACCAGGAACCCACTGTGTACTATACAACCACAGATCAAAGAAATAACTGCTCCTTTCCTAAAGCTCACTGAAGTCATCCAGAAGGACCCTTCAAAGTATAACCCAGTCTTAATTACAACCTCTTTGGGGGTTACAGATGTAGCAGATGACAGTGAATTAGAGGTAGCAATTATGCAAGTTAACAATAACTCACAAATCTACATAAATAATCTGTAATATTACCTAGATATGGATGCACAAGGTCCTTTTAAGGGTGCTCTTCTTTTTATAACTTATAAAACTACATAAATATTATAATGTAATTAGCATGTCATTTTTATAAGTATATTTAAAAATAATCTATAAGATTTTTATGATGTGCCCAGAAAACTTACTGATCTTCAAGACAAAGTTACACTTTTCCTGCTTAACCACTATAATTTATATTATATAGAAATATAATTTATATTATATATAAATTATTGATAGGGTGATATTATACTATACATGTATATTTAATTGCAGAGTTCCTTAGAGCTACCTGCTTTCTTCAGTTACTTCCATCCAATGCATGTAAGTAATAGGAGCATCCACTGAGAAAGAGTGCAAGCTTTCAGGTTTTTCTACATCACATAGGATGACCCTCTTAGTATCAGCAAGACCAAAAGCTAAAACTAGAGGAAAACAGTATAAAGTTAAACAACTTGCATTTGCAAATTTCAATGCTAATACTTTGAATGAGCCTTACACACTTTAAAACAGTGGTTCTCAACCTTTTCTGTACCGGGACCCATTTGTGAACAACAATGGCCAGTACCCCTTATTCCTGACCTGCTACCTTCCACCCGCAGGCTCAGTGTGTCGGGCTCAAAATTTCAATTTCAATATATTTGAAACAGTGAAAAACTAGGAAGTACTTTATGAAATTTATTAATGGCTAATTTATACCAATTTATTTTGTGTCAGTGTCTGTAATCTTAAGAACTAATTCCAAAAAAAAGATATGCACATAAAACAGGCATCTAAAGTCTGCCTTTCTCCTAAGTACAGAACTGTAATTAAAAAACCCTGCTCAGCAGCCACCTAACACTCACAATGCTTAAATCTCATTAGCTGTCTCCCCTTTTGCCTGAAAGTATTTGCAGATCAGCATACCCAGAACTGCTACAGCCTGAACAGACAGGAACCTAACTCCTAACTAACTCCATTGCGACCCACAACCAAGGCACAGCAATGTAGACATCACCCAAGGGGTCTAATCCAGTAGGAACACTCTGCTTTACTGGGTCCCCCACAAAAGGAAGCTTAAGTTGCTTAATTACTAAAATGCACCTGGAAGAGGTAGTAGTGGTGCATCCACAACTCCCACCTCCCAAGAGAATGCCCAACCACCAGGCCATAAGCTTAACTGGATACCTCCTTTTTCAAAACAGAACCATGATGCAACAAAAAATGCAAGATCCATGAGGCCAGAAAGACAGAATCCAAGAGGGAGACTGACTGTGCCCTAAATGCAGGGGTTTTCAACCTTTTTGAAGGAGTGTACCCCTTTTAGTGGCAGCAGCTGGATGCAGAGCGGGGGGGGGGGGGGGGGG